CCCCAAAACCCCAAAACCCCAAAACCCCATCATAATAATGCTTAGCAAAATAATACTTAGGAATATAAATCTATTATTTTATGAAGAAGCATTAGGTTTTTTGCATTTCAGCAATAACGGCTCAGTTTATCTCAAAATCGAATACAGGCACTTTTTCATGCTCATTTTCAGGTTTCTCGCTGAATAGCTTTATGAAGTTATTCTCCACTTCAACGGCATGTTGCTCTACCTATTAGATGAGCTCTTCAAGGTCGAAGCTCTCAAGTTCCTTGATATTCTTTTTCATCTGTTGCACAATGTCCTTTCTGAAGAGTCTCTATGCAGCCTAATGGAAAACGAAGATTCTGGATTAGTCACTGATTGGATTGATGCAAAGAACCTTATCTTCTAGCTCCATCTCTTCATAGACTACACCTCTATCTGATGGTTGAGGAGAAGCATTGTTACCTGCTCTTTGTTACAGCTCTTTCTGTGATTCCTGATGTCTATCGTCTAATAATATACAGTTATACTAATTTATTGCTTACCTTCATCTTAATTCTCATCCTCTACATCTTCTTTCTTTGGGTTTTCTTAAGGCCTCTTGAGTGGAATTCTGATTTTGACTATAGCTTTTAGGGGTAGATGAGCAGCACTTGGAGTGACGTTGCCCTCATCATCTACTAAATCTTGAGGAGGAATAGATAACTTAATTCTCTGAATAAATCCTTCTAATTTTTTGGGGTTCAAATCAGGTGATTGTGATTTCTTGCAATATAAGTCCCAAAGACCTTCATAAACAAGATCATAAGCCTTATTTGATAAAAGAATTGCTTTCGAATTCTACTTCATTGCTCTCAGCACTTCATCTCCATACAACTCAGGATCACTCAAAATCTATCTGAATCTGACGTAGTTAGCCTCCTTCATGACTCTCATTTCATTCAGTTAAAGTGGCTTCTCAAGTGAAAGGAGGAATTCCTCAACAGCTTTACCTACTTGTAAGATTAATTTTTCTGCTCTCATTTTAGCGTCAATGTAGAGGAAGAGGAAATTCTAGACTGTTTTAGGATTCAAGAAATCAGAGTCCTTTTTCCATTTCTTTTAGATACCACTGAAGCAAAGAATTATTTGGCCCAACATACCTCCGAGTCCACCGATGATAGTCTGCTTCTATATATTACCATTAGCCTCAACAAGATCTTGTTGCAAAATATGCTCTCTTGACTCTCCTTTTGAAATGAAGAGTTCGTTAACTTCGTCTCTAAGTTTCTTTAGCTCTGCAGCTTTTCTTGCTGCTTCTCTTGCAGCTCTTCTCCTTTCCTTTTCCTCTAGTTTTTCTCTTTCTTACTATTCTTTAAACAATCGGACATTTTCTTTTCTTTATTTTTCTTCTGCCACAAATTGAGAGTGCTGTTGCTCATTCTCATCAAAGTAGTTCAATACAAACTCATCTGGGAATTTACCGATTTCATCTAGTTGAATCACAAACTTAGCTACTTTCTTGGTCAACCAAGGGTAGACATTCTGTTCCAGTACATTGACTTAGAATCTATTTGTAAAGAAACCAATGTCAGCTAAATGCTTATAAGCGTAGTCTTTGATGCGATAGTTATACATTTTAGCTATTTGTCTGGCTACAATTTTCTTATGAGCAGCTACCTTATTCTTCTTTTTTTCTCTTTCATTGTGCTTTCTTTTCTCAAACTCTTGCTTTTTGCGAAGCTCTGCTTGCTCCATACGCTGTGCTTCAAGATGCTCAGCAGTTTTTACATCATCGAAATGCTTTTATTGTTCTCTCATTATTCTTAACTCCTCTTCTTCTAAAACCTCCATTCTTGCTGCTTCTAGAGTTTTACCGCATAGAACTGATAGAATCGGCTCAACATCCTTGTCAAAGATAAACAGTTCATTGTCTTCAACTAAAGTCTTAGCATCGCAACCTCTCTTAATTGGGATTGATCTAGGAGTGGGCTATAAATAATTAACATCAATATAAGTACTGGTCTCTCAATAATGAAATCAGTTTGACTTCCAATTTCATATTTAGGTGCCTTATCAGTAAGTTCCTCCACAAATTGATCCGTCTGGATGTCAATATTTTATCTACCAGCTTGAGGGTCTGGCGTTTTGATTTCTCTATTGAAAAATTCATCTGCTGAAGCCTTTTGCTATAGTTTAAATTATCTATAACTGTTTTAAAATACATTAGTCTTGTTCGCTCTTTTGGTGGTCTTTTATTTACCTGAGCCTGAAAATAAGGCATCTGGATAAGTGCCAGCAGGAATAACCATAGCAGCATGAGTACTACCTCTGACGACTCTCTTATCAATCATAATGTTCTGTGGGAAATATTCCCTAAATTTTCATTAATATCAAAATATTCGATAAAATTTCAATATCTTTGACTAATCCATAATTTCCTAGTAGATAAGTTTACTTACTCTGCATTTCTGCCATATGGATCTTTGAACTTGGGTTTTTGATTGACTACTTTAGGATGAGCTGAGAAACCACCATTTAAGGAGTTTCCATAGTCAGCAACTTGCTATGTTGACAGCATATTTGTTTTATTTATTCTTAATTATAAAATAATTCTACACTTTCAAATTATTTTATTCACATGGGGTTTTGGGGTTTTGGGGTTTTGGGGTTTTGGGG